CTCAGACGCCACCTGTACTCTGCATCTGGTCCAGAAACTGCCGACGTTCCCACAACATTCGTGACAAGAATTGGCTGACTGACAACAGCGAAGAGCCATATGCCAGCGCCTGTACTCCTAGGATCAATCCGATAAACCATCCAGTGAGCCAAGGCCACACAGACAAGAGAATGATTCCCAGAACGACCGAGAACACACCCGCGAGGAAAAACAACGAAGCGCCAGCCCTAGGCACAAAACAACTAGCGAACAGAACCACCACTCCTCTGAACAGCAACCACAACCCTACGAGTAGTGACAGAAAATACACACCAAATCCCCAACGATGAACGAGGAGGATAACGCCAATCACAACGTCGACAGCAGCGGCGAGGAGATCAAGGACGACATCGGCGGCGCTGGGCTTGAAGGCATCTCTGCCAGCTCTCGAATCAATGACGCACGAGCACACTGTGAGCACCACCAGAGTCGTGGCATTGGCAAGGAAGCAAACTCCCACCAGAATGACAAATGCCTTCACTGACCAAATCGGAAGAAGAATGAACGCCAGCCCGATCAGGCAAGTCGCCGCGCCGAGGATTCGATAAATCCAAAGCCGGCGTCTCATCCCACGAACCGTGGTCGTGCGAAAGCCACTTGGAAGACATTGAAACGGGAAGAAGCCAGACATGGTAAGCATCTCCACTGCATCATCTTCTCCTCCATACATGGCAGCAAAAGACGGAATACCACCTCCACCTCCACCTCCACCTCCACCTCCTGCTGCAAAGCCGCCGGCCCAAGATCCAGCTGGCGCTCGACTCCCCACACCTTCAGTTGCCGCTCCATAGGAGCCGTCGATGATCACCGGTCTCCAACCTGCGAAAGTAGGACCAGACGGTCCAGAAGAAGAGAAACCTGGGCCCAAACCTGAAGCATCGACCCCTGTTCCAGCAGGACCAATCCACGGCGGCGCACGCACAGGAGGGTATGTTGGAACGACGGTTGCCCGGTCGGCGGGAACGCCCATCGTTGGTGTGGAGACAGGGATAGGAGGGTCAACGGCGGCGCCTGACGTCGCTGACGGAAGTCGTGGATAGCTGACTAGATTAACGGAGGGGTAATTAAAGGCCTCCCCATCAAGGTCCCTTCCCAGGCCGGAATCAGTGGACCCTTTGACGGAAACAGAATCCCTGGTCCCCCTCCCGGTCCCAGTTCCAGCTCCAACCACACCCTGGTTACGAGGAGAGTCCCTCTGGTGATTTGACAATTTTGACCCCCCCTGCACGCCCTCGTCATACTCGTCACCGCGGTCGTCAGACTCGTCACGATGGCGATCACCTTCGTTAAGAGCTTGGTCATAACGATCTCCCATCTTTGTGACAAAATGAAGAAGAAGAAGAAGAAGCGTGGGGCAGAAGAAGAAGAAGAAGAAGAAGAAAAAGAAGAAGACCAAGCGAGGGTGGATGCGAAGACGTATACGAATAGAACAAAGGCAGCCCCGAGCCGGAGGGAGGCAGTGAGGCAGGACAAGAAAAGAGGAGGATGCCAAAGACGACTAGGACAAAGGGAGCAGGAGTCTGCAGGACTGCCTCCCAGAGAGCTGCAGAAGAAGGCTAACACAGTACACAGTACGGACGATTCTTCGGACACAGAAGTCAGGCGAAGATAGCTGCAAGCGAAGGTGGACGTCCCGAGGATGGATTCCCGAAGAAGCACACACACACACACACACACACACACGCACACAGAGAGAGAGAGAGAGAGAGAGAGAGAGAGAGAGAGAGAGAGAGAGAGAGAGAGAGAGAGAG